CTAAATGACCATATGAATTATTATGATTTATCTATGTTGTTATCTAACAATTGTGATATAGCTCCAACATCCACAATGGCCATACCAGTCTCATATACAACCACAGGACCAACTTCACCTTCAACAGCCGAGACTCAGTCTCCAGTACCTGTTCCAGACCCACCTGAGGTAACTGATGTTTCACTGATGGCCTCTGCTGCTCCAGCTAGTCCTCTCGCTGATGCTGACCTGTCTCCAGCACACAGTGCAGCAGCTGCTGTCACCCCACCTGGTATGCGCACATGCGCTCGTGCTGGCAAGTTCTTCCCACACAAATTTACAGATGGCACGGTTCCTTATGATCTACACAAACGTGCTTTCTTTGCCACACCAACCTCTCATGTCAAAGCACTTTCAGTCCCCGCTTGGAAGACAGCCATGGATGCTGAGTTCTCTGCTTTACAGCAAAATAGAACATGGTCACTGGTCCCTCGCCCACCTGGTGTCAATATTGTTGGCTCCAAGTGGATTTTTAAACTGAAACAAAACCCGGATGGTACTATAGATAAGCATAAAGCGCGCTTGGTGGCACGAGGATTCACTCAGCAACATGGTGTTGACTACCATGATACCTTTAGCCCTGTGGTTAAACCTGCAACAGTTCGACTGATTCTTTCTTTAGTTGTGTCCTATCGTTGGCCCCTCCGACAAATCGATGTAAGCAATGCTTTTCTTCATGGATATCTGAATGAAGAGGTGTATATGCAGCAGTCTCCTGGCTTTGAAGACCCTCAGCGACCTCATTTTGTGTGTAAATTACACAAAGCCCTTTATGGTCTAAAGCAGTCACCCCATGCCTGGTTCTCTCGTCTCAGTGACAAGTTGTTCCAACTTGGCTTTGTCTCCTCCAAGGCTGACACTTCGTTATTTGTTTTTCAACACAATGTCATTACCATTTACATGCTCGTTTACGTTGATGATACTGTCATCACTGGGTCCTCTCCTTCAGTTATTGACAAATTGGTGAGTGACTTGTCAGCCACCTTTCCAGTTAAAGATCTTGGCCGACTTACCTATTTTCTTGGGATTGAGGTACTCCACAATTCAGGGGGCATCACATTAATGCAGCGTAAGTACGCAAATGATCTGTTACATCGGGCTCATATGGAGAATTGCAGGAGTGTTTCAATCCCCATGTCCGTCACAGAAAAGCTATACCAAGATCATGGGAGACCACTAAACGATGAAGACATTTTTAAATATAGAAGCATGGTTGGCGGTCTTCAGTATCTGACACTAACTCGACCAGATTTATCTTTTGCAGTCAATAAAGTGTGTCAGTTTCTTTCAAGGCCAACAGATGTTCATTGGGAGGCAGTCAAAAGAATCTTAAGATACGTAAAAGGCACATTAGACACTGGTCTCAGATTTAGACAATCAAAGTCAACACTTTTGGGTATCTTTACTGATGCAGATTGGGCAGGTTGTTTAGACTATCGCAGGTCCACGGGTGGTTATGCTATATTTCTTGGACCAAATCTGATTTCTTGGAGCTCTCGCAAGCAACCTACAATGTCTAGATCAAGTACTGAAGCTGAGTATAAGGCGTTAGCTAACGGGACAACAGAGGCGATATGGTTGCAGATTTTACTTAAGGAACTGGGCATTAGACAACCCAGACCACCAGTTATGTGGTGTGATAATCTAGGTGCAACGTATCTAACCGCTAATCCAGTTTTCCATGCTCGTACTAAGCACATTGAAGTGGACTTTCACTTTGTAAGGGAAAAAGTAGCAATGGGAGCACTTGATGTTCAATTCATATCTTCAGGAGATCAACTAGCTGATGGATTAACCAAGCCTGTGACTAAGAACATGTTGGAGCACCTAAGACACAATCTAAACCTTGTGAAGGTTGAGATTGAGGGGGAATGTAAACGTGCTCAAAATAATAAAAGATATAATAGAGATAGAATTGAGTTTGTTGTAAATGATAGGATCTAGTTTGTTAGATCCTAGTCTTATCTTATCCCTTGTAATTGTTATTATAAATATAGGCTAATACCCAAAGGGTTTATTACGACAAATACATTTTTAACTATCAATAACAATTCTCTTAGCAAAAGCAAGACTGTAAATTGTGGCATTTGAAGATTCGGTTATAAATCTGTTATGAGACTGTTGTCCTACAATAGGAATTTTTAATAGATATTGTTTGATCAACTCGGGATATAGAGTTGAATCATTTATTTTGTAAATATTTGCTTCATAGTCACAGGTGTAATGATCTAGAAAGCAAATATCACATATGGTGAGATTCGTAAGTCTGGGTTTTGGCTTTTTCGATCTCTCTTTTTTGTTCATTGGCTTTGTCTTCTATAAGATCTATACCAATGAGCATCATGTAGATGGCATCAAGCATGTCTTGGAATACTGTCATTGTGTTATGACTAATCCAGTTTGTATTTTTGATAATTTTTTGAACTATTCTTGATGTTTTATGGTCAAATAATAAAAGGAAAGATTCTTTTGTTGCATATTTTTCTTTGTTAGTCTGAATGATTACACTTATTTCCGAAGTCCGTTTGTCGATAACTTCTTTTCTATTTGTTTCAATGTTGTCAATATTGAGAACATTTGTTCCGAACTGGTTTGGATTTCCAGTGGGAAGATCTGGCATAGAGCCACTTCTATGACTTTGTTCAGTTTTAGGTCTTTTTCTTCTTTCACCTTGAAAAGAAGATTCTCCAGGATGATCGAAATGTGGTTCGGTCTTATTCATCACGAAGTTAGGCTCTATATCAGAAGAAAGAGATTCCACTTCTTCTTCTGAAATATATACAGAAGTTTCTTTGTCAGATGTTTCTTCTATGACGTTAATCGTTTCATCAAAGTGGAAAAGTTGTTTAAGTTCCTCAGATGTAGAGATTTATAAGTTTACTATATCCATTCCTTTAGATTCAGCAAGATCTAGTAACCTAAGAGCTTGATCAAGAATCGAGACATTTGATCCATTGATTATTAATTCTTCATCTTCATAGTTATCCCAGAAGAATTTCTCTACACTAGATAAATAGTCTATCATGTTGACTTAAAGTAGTCTTTAGGCCATGATAACATTTTTGAAATTCTTTTTGCGTTTCATTAATAATTTTAGCAGCGATGGCTTCTAATTGGTTTGTAGTTACTAAGCCTTGGTTAATCATTTGATCAATCTTTTCAGATAGTTTTTCAACTTTTTCATTTAATTGATTAAGTGATTCCCTGATGTCAACCATATATGTTGTCATCCCATAAGTTGTTTCATTTGATTTTGCATTTCTTTTAATCTAAGATTAAAATTTTTCATTTGGTATGTAAGAACAACTTTATGGGCAACTTCTTTTAGTAGATCATCGAAGTTTTTAGAAATTTTATTAAAAGATTCTAGTAGTTTTGAGTTATGTTATATTATGTTCATTTTTTCTAACATTGTAATTTTTTTTTCAAACTGATTGTTATCAATTTCTCCCAGGTGGTAGCTTTTATCCTAAAGCTTTTTTTGTTTCTGACTATGTTTAAAGCCCAAGAGCTATCTTGAGGATCTATGCCACAAAATTGTTTATCTTTGACATGTCCTATTTCTGAGAATACTTCTTCAAGTTCTATGTATTCTTCTTTTTTATAGTCTATGTTATGATGACTATTTGTCAATGCATATCCTATGAGGTAGGTTATTGTGAAGGTTTTATCTCCTGGAGTCATGCGATTAATTCTTGCAAACTGATGAATAAAAGATAAAACCTTATTTAAGTTTGCTAATTTTAGATCTAAGGAAAATTTAGGATAAACTGGAAACATGAATTTTTGGTAAGCTAGATTTCCTTTGGCTGCACCAAGAATACAATCTTGTCGATGATTGATTCTATCATCGATCAAGGCCATTTTTATTGGAGAATTAATTCCTTCTTGAAATTGAGATTTTATTAGAATTTTTACTGCTCCGATGTCGACCATTCTAATTTTAGATCTTATTTCTGTAGAAATATCTTTTAGGTTCCTTTTTATTTGTTCTTTGGTTAATAGTGGTAGATAAACCGATCTTGTAGTATCTTTTATGTCGACAAACATTTCTTTTGTATTAACGAAGTAAAATATTTCGTTTTTTTTAACGTATTCAGAATATTAAATCTTGAGGGAACGTTTCTAAATATATTTTATTTCTTTATTTTAAGATCTAAGAAGATGGACTTCGGAAATACGTTGGTGGTGTAAAATACTTGTATCAGATCCTCTCTGTTGACAGGTTCTGGTTTTTTAATTATTTTTCATTGATTCTAAAAAGTCTTAAAACACATAGTACAAGAGAAAAAAAGAAAAATAGTAGAGAGAGAAATAGAATGAAATGGGTTAGGGAACCCATATAAACATCCCACCAATCCTAACCCTCCCATCCACTCCAGTGGGAATGGTGAGTACCAATGATATCTCCTTTCCATTTTACCATGACTCTATCCTCCTTAAGGATGGTGTTCACAATAAGATGATATTGTCACATCAGTTTCACGCACAAGGCATGGTGACCATAGTAATGTTTTAAGATACAATTATAAGCAACTAACAAACGTTATGAAAGAGATGTAGTGGAGGGATATGGATTGGTTTTTGCCTTCATATTTATAACACGATGGCCGAGTTCGAAGGTTCATTTGTTACTTGTTAAAAAACTTTGTATATTGCCTTCCGATATACCCTCAACGTAGGGCTTCGTTGTACACGCTGACAAGGACAATGGCCATGAACACAACCTCATACCTCCGTTCTTCATCATTGTGTGGAGAGTTATGGTCACCGCCACATTTGAGTATCTGACCACAACGTTCTTTCTCTATGAAAGCATTCTTCTGTTTTCTTTCTCGCGTGCACACCATCCCAACACAAATGTGGTGAGTCGTGGTGGTGTTGTGGTTCGTGAGAAATACTTCGTACCCATAATGGGTAGAATGTGTTTTAAGGGCACTCTCTTGTACACGTATATGTTTTTTTTTTTTTTTAGATGCGTTTAACGTTGCACGTACGACACGAATTCCTCGTTTCAATCTCCAAAAGTCAATCTCATAATCACATCTTGCATTTAAACAGAATCTAATCCCCCATCCATTTCCTCTTCGTCAAGTCTGGAATTCATCGATCATATCGTAATCCAGAACCCTAGTTTCCCAAATTTGGCTCCATTTCGTACTTAAACTTCCGAAGTTTTCACAGATCTGTTCAAGATGTGGGATCAACAACCGTTTCTAAAAAACGACATCGAGTCGGGATCAAGTCAGCCGCTATACCCGATGATGTTGGAGTCACCGGAGCTACGGTGGTCGTTTATTCGTAAGATATACTCAATCGTCGCCATACAATTACTCCTCACCGCCGCCGTCGGCGCCCTCGTCGTCACGTATCATCCGATCGTCATTTTTTTCACCACCACTAACGCCGGATTAGCTTGTTACCTTCTTCTCATCATTGCTCCATTCATCAGTATGAATTTCAAACAATTTCGTATTAATTTTGCTTTAATTGTTTGAGCAGTTTCCATTTAATGATTTTTGTTGTACAGCTTTGTGCCCATTGTCGTACTATTATCAGCGTCATCCCATCAATTATCTTCTTCTTGGGATCTTCACCATCACTCTTGCTTTTGCTGTTGGTTTGACATGTTCCTTCACTAGTGGTATGTCCATGGTGAATAATTAGTTCACGAATTTACTTTTTCAGTGTGTTGATCGAATGAATTTCTACAGGGAAAGTTATCTTGGAAGCAGTTATTTTGACTGCTGTGGTGGTGGTGAGTCTCACCGGATTCACATTCTGGGCAGCAAAGAGAGGTTACGACTTCAATTTCTTGGGGCCATTTTTGTTTGGTGCTGTTATGGTGCTTATCGTATTTTCCTTCATTCAGGTTATTCATTCATTTAACCCTTTTTTTTTTACTCATTATAGATACTGAAAAATTTCAACCTTTGATTTGAAGCTGATTTGGTAATAATATTTTTGCAGATTTTCTTTCCTTTGGGGAAGATTTCAGTGATGATATACGGGGGTTTATCAGCGATCGTGTTCTGCGGTTACATTGTCTATGATACTGACAATCTAATAAAACGATACACTTACGATGAGTATATATGGGCTGCTGTGGCTCTATACCTTGATATCATCAATCTTTTCATTTCATTGCTTACCATTTTACGAGCTGCAGACACCTAGATCAATCATGGCGTTCACCATCTGTTCATACTTTAAAGGTACCCATGTATTAATCTTTGAATAGATTCTTTTCTTGATTATTATATTTAATTCTGTTGTTGGTAGGAAGAACAAAAAAAAAAATGTGTAGGAAGTGACTTTCATAATCCATACTGGTCATGTATGTTGTATGTAGCAACTAGTATGTAGTACTGTACCTTTTTTTTTTCAGACTTTTGGTTTAAGTGAAATGAAATAAAGGAAGGGTTTTGTGCTTTATGTTATATCTCATGTCATCGTTATCATGTGTTTTTTTAATGTGAGAATGATGTTATTTTAAGTTCATATTTTCAAACTAAAACAAATCCAACTAAGGTTATATAACAAGAAATAGGAACATTGAAAAAGGAGCTTATAAGTTTTACTAAGCACACACATTGGTTATTACAATACAATTTACCTACACATTTGTTATTTGTTCCTCTTATATTTATTTGTTGAACTTCCTTTCATCTACCATGGAAAGAAGTCTTGACACACCTTGAGTCCACATATCATATTCTCTTTGCGTCCTGCATTCAAACTCCACCAATCCACGCCCAACTGTCCTCAGCCCAAAATACCGCCGCTCCTCTCCTCCATCAAACAAATGCCTCCCTGGCCATGCCATCATGTTCTTGACAACCTCCAACACCACATCTGCAAAAAATCACAGAATCAGATAATCAGTTTCAAAACACAGATCCAAAAACAAGCTTTAGTAGAACTACTTACTTTTCTTCTTTTTGGTAATGGTAGAACCGACATGTTTGCTCTTCATCTTTAGCATCACTTGACCTGTTCGATGAATGTAAACAGACACAACTTTCCAATGAAGATCACCTGCCATTTCATTTTCAAATTTAATTAATTAAATGGCTAATTTTATTAAGAAAGAAAGACAAGTTGGTTGTTAGTTTTTACCATTGCGAGTGCGTTTGAGTAGCTCACTCCCCCTGGCTAAGAGTTCTTGGTTACAGATCCCAAGAAAATTCTCTTCAGGGGGAAGGGGAGGTTGCTCACAGTAGCCATTATTCTTTCCTTGACTTTTGCTTTCTTTAAGGCCCCCTCGCTCCACTGGTATTACTGCTGCAATATTCCATACTTCCTTTAACGCCCTTGCCTTCAACGTTGCTGCACCACGTAAAGCTACAAAAACAACCAATTGTTAAATATTAAATGAAATGTATCAAAATGGACCCATTTTTAACAAAACATGTCAATATTGGTCCCTTTAGATTCTGTAGTGGTAGGGTTTGAGGTTTACCGGTTGCAGCAGCAGCGGTGAGAGTTAAAATATCTCCATGGGATTTTACATTAACTGCAGAGCTGACAGCAGCAACAAGGTGCTCGCGTTCAGCTCCCATGGCCTCCGCAGCCTCGACACACTGTGCAGCAACCAAAGTTGCAGCGGAGGCCACGGCCATATTGGTCTTGGCTATGTGCTCGTCTTTTTGTAAAGACGATGCTGCTGCAGTGGCAGCGGCAATAGTAGCTACTGCTGCTGCCACTCCAGCAACCGACACAGCTGCATGGAGCTGTGCGTTGTGAGCCCGCGTCTCTTCTTTCTTTTTCTCTCTCCTTTCCTTTAACCACCTTCCTACTGTTTTTCCGGCAGGGGTGGTGCTACACCCATATCCGCTTCTACCATTGGCAAACAAGGGTTGCAGGGTGTTGTTGGCCCGCAAAAACTGTATTTTATGAATAAAAAAATTGTGAAGTTGATGAATAATTTGACAAGGACTGGAGGTTTGACGGTCAAAATAAAACCAAAAAGAAAAGCTGTTGCACAAATACAAAAAAGAAATCTTTGTCCCCTCAAGGGATAATAAAGTTAAAGTTACAGGGGCATCGAAGGTCTCACTTTTATCTTTCCCTCCAGATTTAAAAGAACAAAAAACAGATCATCACTGTTGCAATGATTTTATCTGTCTTCAATGTTACTGTTCATATTAGAAAAAGCAAAGCATACACAGGCACAGCACTAACGACGTCGTCTTTATACAGAAAGCTCTGAGGTATTTTGCAAACAAAACCATCTTTATACGGCAACTTTGATTTGAAAACTCAAATAGCTAAAAGAATATAAATAAAAATATGTCCAATAAAATATATGACACGCCCTTTTTATGTTTTAACGCGTACATGGTACACTTTCAAGGTCATATTTGTAATGATGGAAGATATGTTTTCAAATTATTTGAACAGTTATAAAATTCAATTGTGTAAATATTTTTTTAACTTCCAATCCAGATAGGACAAAAATGAGATTGACGATTTATTAAAAACTAAAAAGATCAAAATTAAAGATCTGATCATGAATATATATTTGATATTTGTTGAAATAGAAACATGAAAGCGGAAGTGAGTACCTTAACGACGTCGTCATACTCATCGGACGGTGATATATGTGGACTGTCGATTTCTTCCATGTGCGATGGATTCAGTGGTCCACTACTGTGTGACAGCCTCCCTGATGCTAATGGCGATATATCCTGCCCCATTCATTCAATTCATAATTTGTTTGTTTAAATAATCATACAAAACATTAAATCCAATAACTACCATTACATCATCTGTTCACATCACATAAATATGATCTATTTTACGAAGGATAAATTAATCTATTAAAAGTATTTCAATGTGAATGAAGAAGACACGGAACTCACCGACTGTGACATGATTCGTTCAAGCACGAGTTGCGAAGTGGCGGAGGAAGCAAACGAAAATGTGTTGCCTGAAAGCGAAGCCGCCGTCGTCATAACCACTGACTCCTCCGCTGCATCGACGCTGAAAACACTACCGTTGTTCTCCGACGTAGTGTTCGAATTTGTGGTGTTTCTACTAGCGGTTATTCCGGCCTTAGGAATCAACGGAGACGGCGGAGAAATAGAATGCAGAGTTTTGGAGACTTGAAGCGGAGCATCACTCCATGATCTTGATAAAAACTCCATCGGCTTCCGTGGACTCTCCGGCAACTGAAATCCAACACCAGAATTCTGCTCCTGCCATAAACTGTCCATTTTCGTTAGTGCGAGCGAGAGTTGTGTTGTTATTATTTGTTTTTTGGACCTTACCTTATATAGAAAATATTTGACTATCAGTGTTAGAGACATACAGCCCAATAGATGTTCGGGTCGGGTCGATATTTGGTAAATGGTTTGTTATTTGGTTCCGGTAAAATAATCAACCATGTGATTTCTTTCTTTTTTTAAATGACAAAACTTTGGATAGGATCCAAAATGTTTTCAACTTGTATGGAATATCCAAAATCAAGATTTTTTCTTATTTTTGGTCCAAAAAAACTTGAAAAGTCGATTTTACCATTTTTTATTTTTTTTTTCTATTTTCTTTATTTATTTTGGTATTTAAATAATTAAAAAAAATAAAAAATAAAATCTTACCTCTCTCTCTCTGTGTGTGTGTGTGTCTCTCTCTCTCTCCTAACCTAACCTAACCTAACCCAAATTCGTTCCTGTTCATCTTTAAAAATCTTCCACAACTCCATCGGCATACCCTTCACTTTGATCAGCCTCTTGCTGATGGAACCCCACCACTTGTCCCATGAACATACAATGAAACCCAAGTCAAAATCCAAAAACTAATAACAAATTGTTTGTCAAAATAATCTTAGGGTTCTAGTCAAAGAACCTGCAACTTCTTTAAATTGGAGAAATTGATCATCGATAAGCCTCCAGTAACCAAATTCCCTTTAATGTCGATCACTATAAGACTCTTTAACCCCCAAATTTTATTAGGCAACTCATCGATGATTCTTAAATGGAATTAAAAAAGCCTTAAATTCCAAGAGCTTCCGAATTACATTTGACAATCTCCCACCCAAAAAAAATTCCCATTTTTAGCAAAAGAACAATTCCTTTTAAGGTCAAAATGGTGTTTATTCAAACAAGAAATCGAATGATGGTTGTTATGAGTTTCACGTGAATCCAAACAATGGCGGAGCCAGTAGGGGGGCAGCCGGGTGCTGCGCCCCCTCCAACTCTTTTAATTGTTTAATGATAGAATTATATATAATGTAGCCCATGAGTAATTATATGGCCTATCTCAGTAAACTAAATTCAAAGTCCCCTCTGTCTATTTTAATTTGTTAAAGTGGGTATCTCTTTTATTTTATTGTCGGGAGTTGATTTTCATTAGGAAGTTACCATTGCTTTCATTCTCCAATCAATAATAATAGGTAATCTTTAATTCTTACATATTTCACTAATTTTTGTAATTTTATCATGATTAGTAATTTGGTTTTTTATGATCATATTGTATATTTTGAGCAACAAAAGAGTCATTGATTCTTTTTTTAAATGAAAAGAAAAATGTTCATGAACCACAATTTTATATTGTTAGAGATAATATTAGAGGAAGATATTTATAATCTAAGCAGTTATCACGGTCGAAATTTCAATAGCGGTCACATGCCGCTATTTCAAATCGCGGTTATCGCGGTGATATAGCAGTGGTATAGCGGTTTTTTAATATTATATATAATTTATATTATATATTTATACAAAATTTATATATTAGATTATTAATGCTATATAGAATTAATATCATAAAAAATCATATAAAACATAACATAATTTATATAGAATATTCTAATATAGTAATATGGAAACTAAAAAGTGTCAAAATGTCATCGCAACTAAAGTCGTTTGTGATTTCTAAGTGCTGAAACAGACAAGAAAAGGAAGTTGTCATTTGTTGCTTTGTAGTTTGTAATTAATTATATTACTATTTGGACTTATTAAGACAAAAAGTGTAGTGGACTAATTAAAAAAATAAAGATTTAATATTGAAATAACACACAATCGTTTTTTTCTTTGTCAAAGTAGCCCAATATGTACGAAATTGTAAAAGCGGGTGTAGCGTCGCTATAGCGCTGATGAGGTTTGCGGTAAGTAGCGGTCAATAACGCCGCTAATAGCGCCACCGCTATTCGTAAACGCTATTTCAAAATAGCGGTTCAGTAACACCGCAAAATGCTATAGCGGCGCTATAGCACCGCTATAGCGCGCTATTGATAGTATAATTTATAATACATGCCTACAACTTTAAAAAATAGTACTTTAGTAATATTGACGAGCTACTTAGTGTTGAACCTGAATAAATGACTTTCTATTTTAAACTAGTAATCAATATTTTTTATTATCTTTTTAAGATTTAAGTCCCTCTTATTCTCAAATCCTGGCTCCGTCCCTGAATCCAAACCAAGAACAGAAATAAAAATAAGGGTATGTGGATTCCAGCTTGAAAGCATGTTGTGAGGATCGATTCTAGACTTTTGATTTCTACCCATCATATATGGGTTGTTTTGCAGGTTAGAAAACCCATATGAGATTGCAGCGGTAATGGTCACTGTTATTTGCAACGGTGGTGATCGTAGGTGGTTGTAATGGCGGAGTACCGGAATTAGATGGCGGCGACGTCGATTTTGCTAACCCCCAATATAAAAACCACCAGTGAATGTGAATATGGAGATTAACCTTTAAGATCAAAACCACAACACAAAAACGGGGCTTGAAACTTGGATTTTTCGGTGTATCTAACGACGAAGATCTAGGTAGCAGTTAGACCACCGATCTATTTTTTTTCCGGCGCTTTGATCTCGTGGATGGTGGAGCTCGACAAAGATGTTTGGGTTTACTTTTTCGACAATGATGGTTGTTGTGTTGCTTGATGGTTTCCTTTTCTTCCATCTAATATGTGAACATGGTGCTCGACTGGATAGGGGGAGAGGACCGATGGGTGAGAAAGGAAGAAGGGTGGAACTGGGTTTTGAAGAAGATGATGGTGATGGATTGCGTTTTGGGAATTAAAACGAGAGAGAGAGAGAGAGAGAGAGAGAGAGAGAGAGAGAGAGAGAGAGAGAGAGAGAGAGAGAGAGAGAGAGAGAATTATCTTTTCTTTTTATTTTTAAATTAAATTAGTATTTGAAAAATTATAAAAAATACAAAAAAGAAAGTAAAAGGGCATAACGGTCTTTTCAAATTTTTTTGGAAAAAAAATACAGAAAAACCTTTATTTTGGACCTTTTATGTAAGTGGAAAAGTTTTTGGACTCCATCCAAAGTTTTTTGAATACCACATGGACCAATCTTGCAGTTTTGTCTTTTTAAATCCATAGACCTACATTGTAACCTACAATTTGGAGCCTGTCATAGTTGGTCAAAAAGGTTGTAGTGGACACAAACAACATAGTTAAATGATATAGTATATATATATATATATATATATATATATATATATATATAAAAGACTAAATGTGAACAAAATCAACAGTTGGCTACCTCATGAGTCATTTTCCCTTAGGTTGTGTTTGACGCGCCACAACTAATTTGTTTTTTGAGTTTTTATATATTGTCACGTTTGGCAACTCGACGACGCCACAAATGCATGAAATGGTGCGGTATAGGCGCACTTGGCACTTTGCACGACCCATCGGTCGCTAGCAGTTGAGCAAGTTTTATTTTTGGCGAAGTTCGGGTCAAACAACATAGTTAAATGATATAGTATATATATATGGAAAAAAAAGACCAAATGTGAACAAAATCAACAGTTGGCTAGCTCATGAGTCATTTTTCCTTAGGTTGTGTTTGACGCGCCACAACTAATTTATTTTTTAAGTTTTTATATATTGTCGCATATTGCAACTTGACGACGCCACGAATGCATGAAATGGTGTGATATAGGCGCACTTGGCACTTTGCACGACGCATCGGTCGCTAGGAGTTGAGCAAGTTTTAGTTTTGGCAAAGTTCGGGTCAATTCGGTTTGACCGATCTGGTTGAACGGTTGACCCGTGTTGACTTCGTGGATAAGGTGACAAAATCTTTTGGAAGGCCCAAAAAACGGTTTGTTTGGAGAGTAAGGCATTTCCCTGGGGTTTCTAGGGTCCGAGTAATGAGGGCCTTCTAGGGTTTCGATACCTATAAATACAGCTCCCTAGGAGCCGTATTCCACACACAAATTTCGAAGCTCTCTTCCTCTCTTCGCGATTTCTTCCAGCCTTCTGAGTATTCACTTTGCGTTTATCGTTTTCCAGTGTTGTTCGAAAACCAATAAGTCTGCATTAAATCCTGGGGTTTTACTTTGTTGCTTACAACCAATAGAAGCGAAGTAAAAACCTTTAAGGACATGAGTCCAATCCATGCAGTTCTCTAAGATCAAGATCAACCGTTAACATGTCGGTTTTACCTTTCTATCTCGTGTTTACTTTTGTCCAATAAAAGGACACTCTTCTTCTACCTTTCTTATAATCAGGTCTAATCTATAAGGATTGCTCTAGTTTCTGGACGAAACTTGGTAATCAAAATAATAATATTTGGATTTATTATTCGCAACTAATCGACATATAATTCTCAATATTGTTTGTCGGTTTCCTTGTGTGTCTATTGGTTCTGATTTTTAACAAGCTAAACCCCACTCTATCAACCACAAACCCAAAGCTAAACCCCACCCTTTCACTCTCAACCACAAAACCAAAGCCTCATAAGTCAGACGACGAAATTGTACGGGAAACTCAACTCCCCCCTTTTACGTCGTAAAGGAAAACAAGTGCAAGAAAAGACAAAGCAGAAGCCTCAAGCATGGACTCCCCAAGAAAATCTAGTGTTGATACAATCTTGGGTATACATTTCGGAGGATTCAACACTGGGAAATGCACAAGCGCATGAACATTTCTGGCTAGGCATTCTTGAAAGATTTCACAAGGAGTTTGGGTGAAAATGATGAGTACCGTATCAAATACCAACTTAATTCAAAGTTTTGAGAAATAGCGACAAGTGTTTCGAAGATGAACGAGTTGTACAACAGCCTAAAAACCCAAAGGCGAAGCAGTTAAGGAGATGACAAAATTCTTCAAGAGGCTTTGCATTTGTTTCGCGAGGAAACGGGAAAGACATTCAAGTTTAACGAGCCTTGCAAACTGTTAACTCTTAGACCAAGGTGGAAAAAAATATGAAGCTACTTCATACTAGGAGGAGCACAATTAAAAAGAACAAAAAACAAGCTCCTATGGATAAATAACTTATTTTGATACTCGCGTCGGGCTAGATTTAAA